CACACACACACACACACACACACAGGCTTAAAGTCAACATGAAATCCAAATCGACTCCATTTACTTTCTTAACACGTTTCTGCTTATCAGTGAACATTATTCTAGTGAGCTTGCTTTTACAATCTTTCACCCTAATAACTCAGAAATGAAGTCACTTGGATAATGATAAAGCCAATAAAATCCCACCATACTCTTAATTTTTTTGCTTGAATCTGTGTTATTGTAGTTAATTAAAACTAAAACTGAAACTAAAACTGAAATCATTAAAACATTTTTGTTACTTGAAATAAAAATAAATAAATATAATAATAATAATAATATAAAATAAAGTTCAGCAAGTTTCTCACATTCCTCATTTTAATTGTTTAACCTAAAGTACTAAAATGACTACAGCTGAACTAAAAATGACAAAAACTAAACAAAATGATTAAAACTTTAAAATTAAAATAAAAACAGAAAATAATATATATAGGCCATAACCCTCCAGCTCAGGTGAGCCTTCCTTTCTTCCTGTTTTTCATATAAAGATTGAGAAGGAATGGAAGAGGCCGTTTTTTCTTCTTAGAGACGTCCTCTAAGACTCCCCTCCTTGACATCTCGCTCGGATGCCAGGGCATACGCAGCAGCAGCAGGTCGGGCTGTCCAATGGGCAGAGTGCAGCAGAAACGTGCAGCTCGTAGTTTTTTTAAAGCACTTGCATGAATTATTCAGGACAACAAGAGTTATTTGATCTGTAAAGTGTCTAAATCATCCCTTTCAGGTGTAACTACTACAAAACCGCTTCACGTTCACATGCATTAAACTATCCTTGCATAGATAGCACATGTAATAGTATATACGTAACGATATGTTTCAGACTAATGCAGGGAACGTTTCCTTGCAATCAATGGCAGCGTATTATTATTCAAGCACACAGTCAAACAGCCTCGACGTGCTGGAAACAATTAACGGAAACAATTAAACGGAACTATATAAATACGATCATATAAAAACACTGTCAGCGGTCTGAAATCCTGTTATGACTCTGATTAATGTAATATTCATCAGTGTGTGTTGGGCTGTGTTCAGTGATGAGAGTTAAGAACTACTTTCAGTGATTAGCATCTAATTTACTCTGAAATCATCAGCACAAGCAGATAAACGGAGACGTTAGACACACACGCACGCACACACAGTTTTCAGGCTTTATATTCAGAGACATAAACTGGCATAAAGTTCAAAAGTTTGGGGTTGTTTTTGAAAGAAGTCTCTTCTGTTCACCAAAGCTGCATTTATTTGATTAGTAATACAGTAAAAACAGTGAAATATTATTACAGTTCAAAAGAACAGCATATATTTGAAATAGAAATCTTTTGTAACATTATAAATGTCTATACTGTCACTTTTGATCAATTTAATGCATCCTTGCTAAATAAAAGTATTGATTTCCTTGAATTTGTTTCATTACTGAACTGCTTAATGTAATTTTCACATGAGAGTGATGAAAAACATGGAGGAAATTGAGTGTGTGTTACATTAGCATGATTTAAGCAGTAATATGAGGTTCGGTCATCGAGTCCAGCTCTACTGTCTGTGTCTCTGTGTTTCCAGCGCTGACAGTGACCTGCAGCTCACTGAATACTGTCTCACTGCTCACAGAGCTAATCATTCCTCTGTGTGTGTGTGTGTGTGTGTGTGTGTGTGGCTGTCTCTCTGCAGTGCAGTTGATAAGACTCTGTTGCTATTAAAGGGAAGGCGTTTATCTCACAGTCCCGCCGCTGACAGCTCTTCAGGGCTTTCCCTGCAACAGACAGACTGAAGGACAAACGGAAAGACAGACGGACGGACAGAGAGAGACCGACAGACAGACAGACAAACAAAAGGACAGACAGACTGACAGACAGACAGACAGAGAGATAACTATTTAAGTATTATTATTATTACATAATCAGGTTACTTTTTCAAGTAACTAGTAAAATACCGCATTACTTTTAAATTTACAGTTACTTTTACAAATGAGTAACACAGGTTACTTTGTTTTTCCATTTATTGACTGACAGCTCTCCTGTCCCTGTGTTGAGAGAAATCAGGAGTGAGTTCAGAGGCACAGGCGTTTCCTTCAGGATTATTAATTTCACTTTTGGTGTGAACGGGGACTTTACAGTTGCCAAACAATATAACACTTGGGATTTTTGTTATTAAATATAAAAAAGCAAGCCCCACCAAGGTGACAAAAAGTAATGCAAAAGTAAGGTAATGCATTACTTTCCATAAAAAGTAACTAAGTAACGCAATTAGTTACTTTTTTTATGGAGTAACGCAATACTGTAATGCATTACTTTTAGAAATAACTTTACCCATTGATATATTTATTATTATAATTATTATCATAATTATTATTATTATTATTTAACCATTAAACCAATAGAAAGCAGACGACAAAACTTGCTTTTAAAAAATATTTCTTTATTCCTTTATTTATTTTTTTCAGTTTTAGTTGTAGTAATTTTAGTACTTAAACTTCAATTAGTTGCTAAAGCAACATTACTTAATTACATTTAAGTTTGAAAATTAAAGTTATCCAATATTTGCAACTTATTTCATTTCAGTTTTATTTAAATTAATGACAGACAGACAGACAGAGAGACCGACAGACAGACAGAGAGACAAACAAAAGGACAGACAGACAGACTGACAGACAGACAGAGAGACAAACAAAAGGACAGAGAGACAGACAGACGGACAGAGAGACAGACGGACGGACAGACAGACAAACAAAAGGACAGACAGACAGAGAGACAGACAGACAGACAGA